TGTCTGCGAGCATCTGCATGCCTGTCTAATTGTGAGAGAAGGAAGACATCCAGCCTCCGTCACACACTCTCTGCTCTTCTTTCATTTTCTATCCGGGCGCAGTAATGAGGTTCACATGGTAACACTGGAATTTAATGTGAAAATGTCTTTGCTCTCATCATGTGTGTGTGTGTGTTTCTCACTGTTGATTGGTGGAGTGACATTAAGATTCATGAAACCAGACAGGCAAGGAAAAAAAAAAAGAGTGCACACATCAGCAGATACATGCCTAGACACAAACACATGCAGAAATATAATGAGACAGAGAGAGAGAAAAGGAGGGAGAGAAAGGCAGTCTGCATTGTACACACTCCTGCAGAAAACCACAAAGGAAAGGGAGGGGGGGGGGGACACAGGGAAGGGAGGTGTGTGTGAAGACGGAGAGAGGGATCTCAGAGTTAGGGACCACACACTCGCACGGCTAAAAATGCCAGCAAGCGGGAGAGCAAAGAGAAGAGGAGAAGAAGAATCGGGAGGGTAACAGAGTGGGAGGGGTGAAGAAGAAGACATATGTTTACACCCTGTCCATGTTACATACGGAAATGAGAGTGGGAGGAGGATAGAAGGGGTGAGATAACACGTAGAACAACAGGGGAAGGAGAAATGTGAGAATGGGAAGTGGGAGATGCAGGAGGGAGGGAAGGAGCGAGAGGGGGAGTGCAGAGCTGCTGCGAGCGAGACAGACCGCATACTCATTACAGCTATTATTAGACGAGAGGAGAGGTAGACCAGCGGGAGGATGGAGGAAAGGGGGAGGAGTGGGGGGGGGGGGGGGGGGGCTAGTACCACAAGCTTGAGGATGAGAAAAAATGAAGAGTTCTATGTGATACAATCAAAGGGGAGAATTCTTTTTTTAAGATTTGGAAAGAGGAGAGAAACTCTTAGGGGGAGACAGGGATGGATAACTTGTAAAGAAACCAAAACGGACAGTAAACAGATGGGGGGGATCAGAGCGTTATTTTGGAGCGATATCCAGTTATGTCACTTCAGATTTGTTATGTGTTCCTTCCTTGTTCACTCCCTCTCTCCTCTCTCCTCACTTCCTCCTTCCTTCCTCCCTTCCTTCATCCTTCCTCCTTATCCCTCCCTCCACTGCATTCAGCCCCACTCAGCGGGAGACTTCACCCTGAATGTGAGGCTAAAAGTGAGATACTCCTCCCAACCCCTTTTTTCCTGTCCATTTCCTCCCCTCTCTCCTCCTCCTCCTCCTCCTCCTCCCAGAATCCATTGCTGCACGGTGACTCCAGACCATGCTCCAGACCCATAATGCTCCTCGAAGCAAAGAAACTAACAGAAATGTTTCCCCCAAAAAAAGATTGATGTGCCTAAAATCAGTGTTGGCTGTATGTTCAACCTGGCGTTCATTTCTGGACTCATCATTGTCAAATATACTTTTTTTCTCCAAAGTTGAAAGTCCCCCTTTGGAAATTAAGCAGTATTCCCCAGACTCTAAATGTTCTGCTTAGCATTCACCACTGTGAGATTTAATGCAATTAAATCATATTTCCTTTAGAAGCCCTCTCCGGCTCTGCGCTATGAATTTTAGAACATATATCCTGATCCCCACTGCCAAATTCTTTAAATGACATTATTCACAAAGGATACTGCGGGCTGAGATTTTGACTCATCCACATATTAACACACTGTTCTGCCCCTTCTATTTACTGTACAGTTATGGATCCAGGCCTGTGAAAACCGGGTTTCATTTTACCAATTAAAGTGAGCTTTATTAAAAAAAACGTATCCAAATGTCTGCTAATCTGTTTTGTCTTTTGGGTATTTCTGCAAAATCAAGAGCTGTAGCCTTCATGTGGAGCTTTTCTTGTTTTTGCCTAAGCTTTGATTTAATTTCGTTTTTTTGTTTGAAGCTGTGGAACTACTGCTCCACCAAGTGGTCAAGGGAGAAAAGCTGGTAATAATAAATGATTATGCAAAGTTTATTCTGTATTAAGACACCTGCTTACTCACTCAGTGCTATAAATGTATTACTATGTAAATGCTATAGTTATTATAGGCAATTTATATGTTAAAAGGGGCTGCAAAAAAGCAATAAATTATAAATCAGAAGGATTTGCTTTGAAAATTATGCCCGTTTTTCACATACAGTTCCTTACATCCACCTGTCTCCAGCAGTGAACATGTTTCCTCTGCATCTCCTCCTCTCTCTCCTCCAGGAGCTGGGCTAACGGTCGCAGGTGCAGCTCTGAGAGAAGGAGACAACAAAGGCAGATCTGTGGAGGAACATCAAGCATCAGGAGGAGTGTCAGCAGAGAGGGGAGAGAGGGGAGAGAGGGGAGGGGGGAGAGGGGAGAGAGACGTCTGCTCTGATATCAGGGCTATAGAAAGTGTGCAGGCTGTTTACTCCGCTGCCATGTTGGAATCAGGAAGAATCATCTGCCAGTGTTGTAAACAATCATGCAGAGACACTGCTGCACTAACATAGCATCAAATAAATCACTTCATACATATTTTAGCAGATGCTATCAGTTATTTTGTGGCTCATTATATCACTGCTAGACAGGTAGCTTGGCAAACGGTATGTTTCCAACTATGGCTGCACTTCTACCAAATCTCATAATGTGTTACAGTGAATAGCTTTTTATAAAAAAACGTATGAACTTATGTAGCTATATGTAAATATACTTAATTATTTACATTAACTATTTCTTCAGGCTTTAAGACATATGCAAATAATACATTCTTGAAAGCACTTCCCTCTTTGAAAACTCCAGATTCTCTCAATATGCAAATTGGTTTCATTGCAAACATTTGAAATGCTAAACACCAACTGTTTTCTACTTCGGTGAAAAGTATAATTTCAGTGTTTGTGATGTTGATTCTTCCATGTTGCATATTTATCACGGTTGGTTTCCAACTGTTCATGATGTCCCACGACTACATCAAGATAAATCAAAGTGACAAAACAAAATGTTAAAAGGCTCTGCTGCCCTCTAGTGTCTTACTCACACACCTGCAGTGTGAGAGTTCTTCCTCCAACTGTAAAGGATAACTTCTGAAATGACCCAAAGCCTCAGAGGCCCCCCTGGCCTTCACCTGCAAAATATCACTGAAAGAGATACATATATACAAACCCTGAAGAGACTTAAAATGGCAACAAAGAGACACAAAAGGGGCTAAACTACTATAAAGTCATCGACCTTAGGGGCCTTTTACATGACTCTGCCTCGCTTTGCTTTCAGAGGATTCAAAGTCTGAAACTATTCATATCTGCTGTGTACAGATCCAGGGCTCAATTCCTGACTTGAATAAACATGACACAGATCAGGTTTACTGTTTATTTGTTTCTTTTACAATTCAGATGAAGTGTAGCTTGTAGACAATCCCATGGGGCGAGTAAATCCAGCGAAGCTTTATACTTCCTGACTCCGTACATGACTGAGCTGACATACACATTTGCAGGAAGCACTTTGTTGTCATTACCTATAGACTACAAATAGGAAAACAAATCAGACGGTTATTGCGTGACAAGAGGAGCCAGGTTGTAAACAGATACTTTGAATGCAGCCGGATGTTGCTTTGAACTCCTCTCTTTCCTGATGTGTGGAGATGATAGGAGACAAACAAATACAGAGACCCAATCCACCATGATGAAAGTGCTCCCTGAACACACACTCACAGGACAAAGAGAACAACTGCAAACATGCCATTGCAGACACATTAACAATTTATATTGAATAGTACTGCCTGTCATTGTCAGCCTGTGAATGGCAGCCATTGTAATAACCTTTTATGAATATTGAATGTGCTGTAGACCAACATCAGATTGATGTTCGACAATATGTGAGACACCCGAAACTACCAACACAAGGACACTCTGATGGCTCAACAAAGGACTGTAACAGCCTTGCAGGTGATCTATAGTGCAGCAGATGAACTAGGAGAAAGGTTGAGGGGGTAATAATCATGATTCATTCTCACAACGACTGAGGTAAGCCTCTCAGGCCCGAGGCTGGAACCAAAATCACCCAAACAGCCATCAACCGTTAGCACATTACTGGGCGCTGTGATTTAGTTTTGCAATTCAATACAGTTGAGGGACTAGCAATAGAAATTGACTAGCAATAGAAATGGACTATTTGACATGTACATGCACTGGATCATACAATTCCCATAATCCAACTGTCTTTTGTTGTTGTTTTATATGACTAAGATTACCTGAATGATTATCTTTATTTTCTGCAGCGAGGGGAACCAACAAACTACAGACTGAGTTTGACTGCGATGTAGTCTGGAATCATGGGAGTTGTTTCAACATCACTGCGATAATTGCAGAAAGCTGAATTATACGCAGAAGTCTACTACAGAACAAACAAACCAGGTGATCATCATCATCATGGTTTTATCATTGAAAACTATAAATAAACCAGTTTTACTCTAAAAATCTGTGTTTCCTCTAAGCTAGCTGGCATTTACTCACTTAAAACTTAAAATCCAGACATTGAAAATTCTTCATCTGGCAAAAATAAAGTTAAAATAAAACTAGATCAAAAAGGTATGGTGAACAGAATGTGAATCAAAACTGAGTAAAAAGTCAATTTTAGACGCTAACGCTAACACATGGGCAAAGCAGAGGAGATAGGAAACTTCCTCTCAAGCAGAGAAAACATTTAACACCTTTTTTAAAGGATGAGTATTTCTCCACAGGGCGAGCACATGGTGGTTGAGTGCCATTAAAGATCTGTAATTAACAGAAAAGAATAAGTATTTTTTAATAACAAAAGTATTGCATTATTTTAGTCTAGAGAAGATGCTCAAGCTGTAATAAGCGCAATTTCTGTATATCATCCATTTGTGTTAATGCATCACAAATGGTTACCCACATTGAGAAGAGCTGGAGAGGTCAGATAAACAAATAAGAAGTTATTACTGCCCAATTTGATCTTTAAAATAAAAAAAACATCATCAGGTTAACAAGAATCCCACAAAACCAAACGCTGGTATACCAAGCAGGTTGACTTTATTTGCATCTTCCATGATAATTAGTTGTCATCATCATTGCAGGAGCGCATCAGTTAACAGTGTTATTGCCTCCAGCTCCATTACCCCCACTGTCACCATCCACTCAAAGGAAATAATTACATTATCTGAAACAGGCCAGTGACAACAACTATACTCTGGTGTGATATTGACAATCTCATTATCAGTTACATATTAATTAGCTTAAATACTGAGGACATTTTTGCTCGACGGTGCTTAAACAGTGCGCCCATTCCCGGCTCCACTGTGTAAGACAATAATGCATTGTACGTGACATTATTGTTCCATAGAGGCTGCATGTACATAACGACTACATTGTGGTTACACTTCATTTGTTTGACAGCTCACAGGTAATCCAGCAGCATTACATATTTAGCAGGAAAGTAAATGGGCATCCTGAAACGTCATGTGACGTGATCATCTCTGGACAGCTGCTGCTTTTACAAGCTCAGACACTACTTGAGGACTTTTAACATGAATATAGTTTTTTTTTAAAGCTTTATCGTCCAATGGTGACTTGACAAACAGTCAGGTGACGCAGCACATATTTAAGCAGGGTGTAACTTCATCAGCCACTGGTTCCCTTTCTCCAATTATGATTATTAAAATCCAAACTGACTCTAATCTGACCCTGATCATAAAATTAGCCTTGACCCAGACACTGAATATCAGTTAATTATACTGACACTAATGTATCACTTAGACATAATGTTATCAGCTGAATAAACAGGCGTCATCCCTGCCATTGTAAAGCATAAGACAAGCCATACTTGTGACACATTGTAAAACTAAATAAAACATAACGTTTGAACAAAAAATAAAAATACTTGTGCAGTAGTGTTTGTTCAATCTTGGCTGCTTTTTTTTTGTTCTGAGGGAGGCTTGTAAATGCACACAAAATCACATTAAAGTGTCTGAGGTCACACCCTGAATTCTTTTAACTTTATATAAATTACATTAACTGTCAATAAATCACAAGTGTCTGTTTGTTTCCTGACAGTTTGTAGTGTCCGCATTAGACTAAAGCAAAGTCCTTTCTAAAAATCAAAAATGCAGCTGGAGTTCATGTGATCTGGAGTCAAACCAATTCTAAACATGTTTTTTTACAGTGTTCGACAAACTCGGTATGACTGGACTCGTCCCATGAGAGAAACAGTTACAGTATTGACAACAATACATTGGTCATAATTGCTAGAGCATTGTAAATGGTATTCGAGTGATAACAAGAATGACAGCAGAATTGTTGTGCCAACGCAAATGGGGCATTGGAGACGGATGTGTACTTTAAAGTGACCTTTTCAAAAAAGAAAATCACAAATCAAACAAGACAGCCAGAGAATGAGCTTGGAGGTTGATATGCAAATTGCCTTTTTCTAACAGTGTTGTCATTTTTATGACTGAAGCTCCCATTGCTCGTGGTTATAATTTCAGAAAGCTGCTTAGCAACATCAACACGTCCAGCCACAAAGCGGGGATATGGGCGATATTGCTTTGCAACACATTCAGTGACAGTTAAAGGAAAATAAGATCAGTGAATATAAATGCACAATCACATACAGCTGCACTGCTCTCTGCAGGTTTAAAGGGACAGTTCACCCCAGAACATTTGAAAAGTTCCTACTCACCTCAAGCTTTGGATTAACATAAGTAACAGGGTCACAATTCTTGGAAGACACATTAGTGTTGTATTTTTCAGATTTATTCTTCTAGTCCCATTAAATTGTAAATCTTTACAGGCGATATTTCAAACACTCTGCAACGCTAATCAAAGAAAACTAGTTTTAAAAGCACCACTACAGGTGAGAGGAAATTCTTTTGGGGAGTAAACTGTCCCTTTAACCTTTTAGCCAGCACCTCTGCTCAGTGATGTCATAGTAGTTGCTTCACTAAAACATCACTGTGTGTGTGTGTGTGTGTGTGTGCGCGCAGAGAGCAGGACATCAGCTGTTTTCTACCCTGTTAGATTCACTGTTGTTTACCCTCTGAATACAATACATCTCTGCATTGCAACACTTTATAAGGCTTTGCTGCCACCTAGTGGACAGAAACACAACACAACGTATCAGACACATTCTGGGAGGATTTACTCAAGAGCTTTTTTCAGTTTCTCTCCCGAGTAAAACCAGCCTTTTGTCGCTTTGTGTAAATGTTGAATCATCTCCACCTGTACCATCTGCTCGTCTATGTTCATGTGTGTAAGCCTAGGCATTATCTGTTCTAATTGTGTGTTTTGCTTTTGCTTTGGCATGATGGATGTGTGAGAAAGACAGCTTGTGTTGACACAGGAATGCAGCATAAACTGAAATCCTGAGCGAAAAGTTGGCAACGTCGGACACAAAGGCAACAAAGCAGGACAGCTCCATGCTTTCAGTGTGTGTGTGTGTGTGTGTGTGTGTGTGTTAAGACTTTGCATGTGTGTGGCTGTTATGGGTTGATGTTACTCTAGTCTAAAATAAGCTGTTATAATGGCTGCTTTATGGCTGTGGCTAAACATGCAAGCGCGCATGAGTGTGTGTAAGACATCATGGGCACAAAGCTCTTGGCACACCTGAAGCGACTGAGGACACACTTTTGACACACACTGATAATAAAGCAGTATAAATATCCAGTCGCAACACATATGAGTGAAACACACAAAAATGATTAAATAACAAAACTCCAAGCACCCAACGCATATTGGAGGCTCAGTAATCAAAGGCTATGGGAAGTGCATTGTCTGTTTTACAAAAATTAAACAAATAAATAAAAAAACAGCTAAGAAATAAAAAAATCTGAAGCTTACAAAGGCATTTGGATTTAAGACATCACTTAATAACCTGAAATAATGTCTAATCAAGTATGCAGATGATATAAAAGCAGCACATTACAGACTGAATTGTATTTTTCTGTTCGTCAGTTTTAGTGGCAAAGTATTAGGATAGTTAGGATGTTTAAATTGAAGCTCACTACATGTGATTTCCAATTTAAGTGGCTATAAGAACTGAAACACACACGCATAAACAGAGTGAATGAATATGTGTGGAAGCAACTCTATCAAATTAACAGAAGTGTGGTTCAATGCTTTTTAGTGCTTCTTTTTGTTCAGGGACATTTATGGAGATGTTTTTATCCACAAGTCAAGAGACTGAGATAATAATATATAGCTGTAAAAATAATTGTCTTTTAATCTCACATTTTCTTCTTTTTAACGGCTGCTTAAGCAAGTCATTTTCCAGTTGTCCAGACACAAAGAAACATCCTGGTTGCTGTCCGTTTTCTTCCAGTAATTATTCTGTCCATTTGTCTCTTTGTGCCCACTCCAGATTGATGTCCCCGAAAGTTACGGAAGATCCAGAATGTGTGTGAATGTGTGTCAGAGTGTGTGTCCCGTACAGCAAACCAGGCCGTGCTCTACTTTATTGAAAGAACGTTTCCTGCTGTCTCTGCTGAATCCAGGTTGGGTGCAAGGATCCATATTTACGAAGCGTCTGAAGCATTGCTCTTTTTCAGGAAACTCCTCATGTAGGATATTTTTCTCCAACTTTCATTCTTTAAGTGTGCTTTTTCGTCTCTGACGGAAGCAGTAAGAGAACGAGGGAGACCTTCCATCATCACAGAGTGGCTGCGGGAACCTCAGGGAATGGTACGAAATGTCCAGCTAACAAGTTGAAATGCTTCTTGCTATTGCAGCAGGTTTAGTGTGCTTTGTAAAATATCTGCACTGATGGTGGTGTTGTCTGTGCCAATTGTCTCTCCCTGCCTGAAGACAGAGCTAAACCCTATGGATTCTTTATCTACACGAGTCTGAAATATCTACATTTCACTTTTTTGTTCACTGCTTTTTGCAATGGCAGAAAGATTTGCTACATAGCCGTTAGTTAGCTACTGCACGATAGCTGTTATTAAGTTACATGCATCTCTATGCCGGCTAACTTTTAAACATTTTATAGTGAGAGCACTGTTACTTATTTGAAGGTGATTCTTCAAGAGGAGGAGGAAGCAGCATGGCACAATGTGGCATGAGTAAAGGGCCGTCTACACCGAGAAGGATAACCATAAAGACAACTGTAAATATAAAACTATGATGAAAGTGGCAAAAAATATATTTTGGATCACTTTAAGAGCGATTTGATGAAGGATTAAACACTAACAGCCAGTTCAAATCCATCCGTAAATGAAGTGTGTTTGTCACACACAGGAGGGGGATTAGTAAAAATCTATTTTAGGACTTATTTTTATCCGTAATTCAAGGTTCTTATTACAGAATCTATGTCCCTCTCTTCACTTCCACAGTGTTGACAGATGCAAATCACTAGCTATTTTTTAAACTTGTCTAATATTATTATTTGTGTCCTTTTCGCTCTCTATGCAACAGTATCCCTTGTGGGGCTCCAAACATGTTATTTTTGGATGTGTGGATGCTCACAGTGTTTATAGTTGTATAGTCATGTTTCTCGGTGTGGACGGCCCTTTACTCTATCAAAGGGCTGGGCTTTAATGATTTGTTTGTTGGATTTATTCCACTATTGTTATCAACAATGTTAACGTCTGCACAAAGCGATTCAACCTCTGAATGATCCTTGTCTGTTTTTTATTTTAGGAGTATACCAGCTGAGCTCATGTTTGACTTCCCATGCGGTCCAAAATGACATAAATGAGATTAAGAGGTGATTTATCATGCGTAAACACATACAGTATTGTGTTATATAGTACCTTGTTTTTTAGGAAGGTTATTGTCATTTTTTTCTCATTTTACGCAAGCCTATCTTTGGCTACAACTGTTTAAAACTAGAGCACAACTATACAGGCTTAACTGGTGGAAAATCCCACCCTGTGTTAGCAACCTGTCAGTATCTTAACATTTTTGTTTATTCTGTCTCTTCGATAATATTCAGACATGGGGAGAGGTTTTTAAAAACTTTATATAAAGTGTGATATATCTGCTTAATAAAATCTGATGGTGGAGGAGGAATCCTCGCCGAGAGGAGGCGTGATTTGTGGAGTGAGCGAAGAGGAAATCTGATCTGAGGAGCAGAGAGAGGTGCAGCACTTTACAGAAGGAGGAGTGGTGATGGCAGAGAAGTAGAGGAGGGAGAAGGATGTAGTGAATCAACTACGGTACAACACCCTTTCACCTTAATTAAAACACAATGTGCTAATTTCGAGAAGAGATGTTGCCCCTAATGATTTGTGTTTCAAAAAAGCAATAGATGTGTTGCTCCCAATGTCACCTATGCACTATCTTTTGGCATGTTTGGAGGTGAGGAAGGAGAAGAGCAGAGAAAATGGAGGGAGGACAGAAGATGGGAGAGGAAGCCATCTCTCCTCTTCGTATGGAGTTTTTTCTATCGGCTCCATATCGGTAATGGATAGAGAGTGGTGCGGAAGCTAATGGTGAGGTGAGGAGCGAGAAGGCATGAAGAGGAGGGAGGAAATCAATATTTCTCCAATCTTATTATAATGTTACAGTTGCTCGACAGATGCCGTGTGATGTTGTAAAGTGAATCTGTAAAGCCTGATTTGTCGTCTGTGTCTTTTTTTGGGGGGGACTATTTGAATACTATTTGATTTCCTGATTAGATTCCAGATCAGGGTTGCTGCTGCTCCTTCTTTTTGTGTTTCTCTCCTCCTCTTGAGGTGATCTTTAAATTAATGATTGGATTAATCTGGTCTGACATGGTCCGTTTGTATTTGACTATTCCTCTCCGCCTATTGTTGTTAGAATGTTATACTCTCCTCCCTTGCCATTTTCTATTACCTTACATAATTGTTTCTCTCCTACTTCCTCACATTGCATTAGTAAACCCTTTGTTATGTCCTCTGACATATTTAGAAGTTCTTTCTGTATTTCATCTTCTAAATGAGTCTACCTCAAAGATGACCCACTCCGTTACTCCTCTCACTCCTGTTCTTGCATAGATACATCTGGAAATATACATTCCCATGTTTTCAGTCTTTCTGTTATTCCTCTCGTTCTCAATATCTTAGTGTAAAGTCTACAGTTTTCAAGTATTTGGCTTCACTCATATTCTGATGCTGTGTTCACACCATATACGTAGATGAATTTAACATCGTGTATGTCACGTGAATTTGAACACGTGAATCACTCACAACATTAATATAAGAAAAGTTCATCCTTTGTTAGGTCTGTACGCAAAAGGACAAGCAAACAACTTTTTAAATGCTTTTTTGCTTGAATGGAGTTTGGATTGATGACGAGGGCAATGCTAACACTTTAGCTGTTCCATCATCACTAAGGCATACATATGTCTGTACACATGGATTTTCACATACTGTTAAAAGTTGAAATGGTATTACCTCACCATCATTTAAGATGTTTATTAGAATCTTAACACTTACAGGCTTTTCACCTGAGAACATTGCTACACATTAGGTGTGAACACAGCATCAGACTTTGTATGATTTTGCTGTCAGCTATCATCTCATCTGAACTAGTGCGTTTCCGGTCTTTTACTGTATGCACCATACATCTTCCCATCTCCCCTTGTTTCATTGGTTATTCTGTTTCACACAGCTGCTCTTACCTCTGTAATGCTTTGTTCTTACTCAATCATTTCTTTTTCCTGTAGTTCTTTCAACCTCATTCTGTTCTCATTTCATTCATTCCATCCTACAGTATCTTATTGCCTTCACTCTTTTCTTTGTGTTCAGCGCGTTCTTTCATCTCCCTCGGCCTCTGCCCAGACGTGAAATCTGTTTTGTTTTTTATCGTCACATGTCGTCTCCACCGTGGCAGCTCTCCTCTCCATGTATGATGAGGACGGGAAAGAAGAACGCGTCCTGATAGGACGGAGGACGCTCCCTCCCTCCCCCTTCGCTCTCCCTCCCCTCGCCTGCACTGTCTGGCTCTGCGTCTTCATCTCTCTCTCTGCCTCCTCTTCCCTGATCCCGTCTCATCACTACCACTGCTGCTGCTGCTTCCTCCCCCTGCTGCTGCTCTTCCTCCTCCTCTTCATCCCCTTCTCCTTCCAGCACTCCTCTGGTCTCCTCGTTGTCCTGCCTTGAACCCAAACCAAGGAATCCTCCTCCTCCCCCACTGCTTCCTCCCCCTCCTCCTCCTCCACTCCCTGCTCCATCCTCTCTGCTCCCTCCCAGCCCTCCTCCCATGCTTCTTGAATGAAACAGGCTGTTCGGGCGGCCTGTTGCCAGTCTCCCCAGAGAGAATCCGCTCCGACTGAGCACCAACCGTCCCCCGATACCTCCTCCACCCCCCTGCCCCGCTGCCCTGATGCCTGCCACGGTAGTGTTCAGGAGCGCTGTGTTTCCCATGGGGGCCCGCAGCCTGGAGGGCAGGCTGGAGCTGGACGTGGTCCTCCGGCAGCGGGGGCAGCTCTGGAGGAGGTAGGCCGAGTTGAAGACAACGGGCAGAGCGAGAGGAGGCGGGTTGAGCCCCGTGCTCGGGGTGGAGCTTGCGGCCCCAGAGATGGGCGTAGAGGCGGTGGGGTTTGTCCCCCCGCTCATTTCCAAGTCCATCAGCAGGGCTTCAGAGTAGCTCGGCACCATCTGTTGGTTACAGCGGATGTGCCACTCCAGCTCCGTCATGTCCACCGTGTTGACCCGAGAGATGGCTCTGTAACTCGTCCCGTTGATTCCAGGATGGAGTCCATTCTCAGTCCCTCCTTCAACCCCATCCCCTCTTCCTCCCCCACCTGGCCCTCCTACACCCCCACCTCCTCCGCCACCATCCTCGTCCTCACCAAACAGCTTCTCCACGTGGTAGTGGACGTACGCCGTGCGATATTCTGACACCACGCGCAGCGGCCAGGACATCAGGAAAGCAGAGGCCAGCCAGAAGACTTTGTGCCGGGAGAACCAGGGCTGCCGGGTCGGGTCAGGGAACGCCAGGATGTGCTCACGGAAATCCACGTTCTTCAGGTGCATCCCCTCCCTGGCCTCCATGTAGTCGTCGAGTCCCTCGTTCTCCCCGAAGAAGCGAGCTCGCTTTGAATAACAGAAAGAGGATGTGCTAGAATTAGAATTCATTAACAGAGCATTATCTCCAAAGCTCAGGAGAATATCTTTAACCTACTACTGTATTATTTTATGGTAGTTTATGTTTAAAACTAAAAATATTTTCACAACTATCACATCCATTATTCATTACCCAACAGTGTGAAGGCCAGACATGGACTTCACAATACTTGGATCAACTTCTTAACTGCACCTACTACCTCATCAAGTGTTCATAAAAAATGTGATCAATTATTAAGCTGGCTAGCTACAGCTGAATCTGCCAGCAACAGTTGTAATGACAGATTTAAGTCAATAGTTGCTGGCTAGAAATAAGAAGCCTGCTTTTCTCTATCTCTGTCCAAAATCAAGAGATGATTGTTTCAAAGAAAGACATTCGAGTGGTAAATCTGCCATTGTTGTCGCAGATGTGCAGTGAGTGGAAATCCTAAGTGGGCAAACAATTGAAAGATAACACTTTGTGCTCTGGAAACTAGGGTTGACCTTATTGTATCACATTTTATAGATAAGACATTCTCTAGAAAATAAATAAATATACTAAATATATTAATTTGTTATATCTTGTCTTACCTGGGTGAGGTAGGCAGCTTCAGCACGTGCACTGGAGAAGCTAAATAGCACAAAGATTTGTTAAAAACGTTCTTAGCCACCCAAAAATAAGGATGTGTGCACAATGAATGGGGGAAGGTACATAACAGCAGGGACAAGGGGATTTTAAGAAAAAATAAAACCCAATAACCTGACGAAACAACCCCCCTGTTTCATAAAGGGAAATAATAATAAAAAACAATACAAAAAACCCATCTAATTCCAGTCTCCCCTCCAGCTGTGGTTGGTGGGGGTGTCTGACCTGAAACACTTGGTGAAGCGGAGGCGGACCGCAGGGTGCAGCTGCAGGTCCAGCAGCTCCTTTGACACGTCTTTGACTCCGTAGCGGCCGTAGTCAAACTCTGAGCTGGAGGCGTGAGTGTTCACCCGCTCATGGTACACCTGGAGGGGGGGGGGGGGGGGCAAAGTATGATGTTTGTATTCCTGCACACAGGGATGCAATATTTCACTAGGAGAAATTAAGATTCGCATATCAGTTGTTTTAAAAGTTTAAAAGAGTATATTTACATGAAGCTCCCCTCACCTGTGTGGTGGTATAAGCGTCTCCGTTGCGGTACCTGGTCACCTGTCGGGTCCTCCTGACGTAGTGATAGCTGATGGCCTTCCACCAGATGCAGGGTGTGGCCTGCTGGAGCCTCTGCACACGCTCGTACACCTCCTGTGACAGAGAATTCATTCAAGACACATTCAAATGTATGTTCCTACACCTGACTTTATATGGTCAAATTTGACAATTCACAATAAAAGAGGGTACATAAAAATGCCCTTCTGCTCCCTTATGAGAGAATAAATAAATAACACAATTAGGGCTCAAAGATTACATGAAAGAGATAGTTGAAGTTATTATATAACAAACAAAGGACATCAGCATTTCCTCGAGACAGTGTTCTTTTTTTAGGACTGGATTCAAGTTATTTTGAGAAATATTTTTTATTTCAATTCAATTCCTTCTAAACAAATCTGTTGAAAACGAGGACAAACAATTTAAGATGCGACATTGCCTGAGCAGGTTCATCTTATTTGCATAGATTAGAGTTAAATCTGGTGCAAGTCAGGCTCTGCCAGGTTTTGTTTATGTTTTGTTTTTTTAAATCTCTACGCAGATCAATTAATCATAAGATATGTGCCCCTGACAGTCTGGACCAACGTAACAAAACATGCTGTTTTTTGGCAGTAGCACATATCTAAGATGAACAGTAACCAATGTGCTCCTGATAAAAGACAGAGCAGACAAGGATAGATGAAAGAGAGACTGATGCCTCTGGGTCTGCTCAGTTCCATATAAATGGGCAAAGACTATTTTAGGAAAGAAATTGAAAGTGTTCTCTCCTCTTGAAATGTTAAAATTCCTGACTGAACTACAGGAAATTAAGCCCTTATTTATCTTGATCAGCAACTGTCTCAGCAGACATTTAACACATCACCATCAATTTATGTACACAAGCTCTTTATTTAAAGGCTGACACTATCAGTTTCAATGAGTAAACAGATTCTGCTGCTTAGCTCAAGGTCACAGAGCTATTCCTAGACTGCAGCAGTGAACTCCACACTCTGCTGGGTGCTGAACGACTGATTGAAATTTAATGGAAATGTCAATACAGCCACCGAGCAATTTTTAATTCAATCAAATCAAAAGAGATAGAATATTTTTTTAAGGGAATTTATGTGTCTATACACCATTATAAAGTGTTGTAATCCTGAAGAAATGTCTAGAGACTTGGGTAAACATTATTTTTGGTAAAGATCCCTACAAAAATGTTTTTTTCAATGGATAGGAGAATAATGATGTCACCCTCTAACATTGCAAATCATTTCAGAATTGCAATATCAGACAAATAATGACATTTAGATATGTTAACAAAATCTTCCAACATTTTTGTAAGCTATGAGGCCCTCTCCTATTATGCTATTTTTAGGCATATATTATGGGTCTCAGGTATATACAAATATGTAAAAAACATGTCTATGATATGTTTTGCTCAAAATGCCAAACAGATCATCCATTTTAGACATCCCTCATATCCCTTTATTTAAGCCCTGTTAGAGAACTTGAAACAGTATGGAGCTCAAATGCTTTCTCTCTTGCGGGTTTACCACAAGGTGCTGCTTGCTCATGCTCTCTCCAGTACAGGTTGGCTCTGAGTGTTAGCGATGCTTGCTAATGTAAACAAAGACCATATTACGTCCAAAACACGTCAGGCATTGTTTCTGATAGTGCTGTGGGTCCACATTTTTTTAAATCATATCGGACGCAAATCTGGATCAGCTCCGTTGTACCCCGTTTTTAGAGATTTGGGTACGGAGGTAAAGAGAGAGGGTTTTGTATTTTGACACTGGGGACACATATTTATGTATAAAAGACATAAAAAAGTGCATTTTGCATTATAGGTCCCCTTTAATGCTTTTACTGTTTTTTCCCACAGACCTGGAATTCGGCATTAGCCAACATTGCCGTCTTGGAGAAGCAGTGCCAGCACTCCACCAGGTAAACCACGTAGAGCATCGCCAGGAATGCCAGCGGGATGTAGACGTAGCCGCTGGAGCACGGGCTTTCCAGGTGCAGGATGTCGTTGTAATAGGCGGCCGAGGTGGCGTCGTCATCAGAACCCAGAGGACCGGAGGAGGAGCCGAGGACGGGGACGCGACACAGAGCGCACCAGGCCAGCGTGGCGAAGCAGCCGTACATGAGGAGGGTCAGGAGGAGGCACTTCCAGTGAGACTCCCGGCACAGGGAGGAACCAAAGGACTGCTGCACCGGACGCTGCTGGGGAGGGACAAAGAGAGGGGGGGGTTACATAGGCGTTAAGATGCTATCAAACACACAATTCATTTAAACCATTGAGAACAGGGGTCTCAGGTAAATTCTCCAATGCTCAAAGTTCGGAGGGCATTGCAAATAATATATCTTGCTGTACAAGTCTTTTTTTTCGATTTATAAAGCACTTTTGGTTTTCTTTTTTGTATGAAAGTAGGGCTGCACAATTAATCAAAATCTTATCGAACATCACAATATGGACTGGTGCAATATGCAAATCGCAGTAAACCCATTCGTTGGATAAGGCAAAATATGTGAAAATATGTGAAGGTCTCTATAGTGGTGCTGCCAGTCCCCGCCAAGTCGCCAACAAACAGTCATTTGCAGACTTCATAATAAATACTTATGTTGAATGTTTTTGTCAACCCTCTCATATTGTGAATCATATCAGAATAGCAATATCAGTCAAAAATAATTGCAATTAGGTATTTTCTTTCAATTGTCCCCCCATGTATAAATCGTGCTATATAATTAAATAAAGCTGTCATTGTAAGCATGTTACCATGTGGATTTTAACATTGTGCTCATTTTGAGCCCTAACCAGTTTCCCATGCTTGTTGGATGACTGGAGCAGGTTATTAATATTACTTTAAATCTCCACCCAATTAGAGTTTGGTTTTAAGCTCCTAATGCCATGATTAATAATAGTTTACAGGCAATCCTTTTGTTCTATTTTTGTTCCTATCCTAAAGCCATGTGTCACACATATGGTACGCTGTTTTAACACTAAAGTTAGCCATGAACCAGTCTGAGGTGTGCCACTAGATTTGACACTTTTCTACCTTCTCACGTTGACAGTCAAGATTTGTATGAATAATACAGTGTGCCTCACATTGTTAATATTTAAAACGGCATGCCAGGTGGAAATTATTTCAAGAAATACATATGTTTGTCATGGCAACACACACACACTTTATGCCTGCCTTTAAGTGCACACACACACACACACACACACACACACACACACACACACACACACACACACACAACACCACACACACACACACACACACCACACACACACCACACACACACTACACACACACACACACACACACACACACACACAACACACACACACACACACACACACACACACACACACACACACACACACACACACACACACACACACACACACACACACACACACACACACACACACACACACACACACACACACACACACACACACACACACACACACACACACACACACACACACACACACACGTAAGTGAATAATTTAGAAGAGAACGATATACTTCTAGACTCTTCTGAACTGACTGCACTCCAACATCAGCAGCGAAACACGAATGTGTGTGAGAGTGAGGGAGGGAGAGATGGAAAGCTTGTGTAGTGTATCACAGGAAAATGAAGAGAAACACAGCTTACACACACGCATACTGTTTGGTGTGTGTGTGTTGCATGTGTCCTCACCATGGCTCCAACTGAATGCGACAAGGCAAAAGAGCAACAAAGCAGATGACGAATAAAAAAAAAGAGTGAATGACACCAGTGTCCTCTCCTCCTCTCAGCCAAGTCCTGTCAGCACACACCCCCCACTCCCCCTCCCCATCTTTATCTCCCACTCCTTCAGTGCAGCCACAAATTGCTTTCCACTAGCAAATTTGACTGGCTGCGACACACACACACACACCGCCTCTCTCTTTTTTTTTATACTACTGTACGTCAAGGGCAAGTAGTGAAATGCTGCGTGAAGGACACCTCCACTCCATCACCTCCCTGCTACTCCACCCAAAAGCCCACACTGCGCACAACATCCCAAACATCTTTGCTTTCCTTTTGCCTTTCCTCTCCACATCCTCCTTCCTTTCCTTACGTAATCTTGTTTCTCCTTCCCCGAATCTTCCCTCCCACCTCCAAAGCATTTACTGTTTCCCAACCTCAGTCTCCCCTCCCCTCCGTCCTCCTCACCCCCACGTCTCCTCTGTTACATCCTCTCTCAGAGTCTGTCTCTAAGTGGATTGATTGGGCTAAAAGTGTAGAGAGAGATAGAGAGAGAGAGAGGGCAGCGTGAGAGAGAAACGGTCATGAACTTTTCATGAATGCAAGTATGAAAGGAAGCAAAAAGGAGAGAGGGATGGTGAGACTAAAGAGGCAGTAACAGAATGCACCTTTCTCCAGGGAACCACACTGACAAAATTGCCTCTATCTCTGTCTTATTTTGTCTGGCTGGCTCCAAATCCATCCTGTCCTTTTCCTCTTACCTTGTGCAAATAAATGCTGCCTAAAAATGTTATATTCTAGCTGCAGCTGACATTTTTATCTGCAGGTGTTGTGTGCCAAGTGGGAGAAAAATCAGACAGGAGTCAAATTATTCCTGCACGCACTTCTGCCAATCACTTTTTGTCAATTCGAGCAGTTCTCCCTCCCACCGGGGATAGGCAGATTTGCTCAAATGAGTCTGGAGATGGTCATAAAATAGAGGGCGACGAGAGATATACCACACACATTCCAGAGAAAACTGTTTACCTCATTTGGCTTACAAGGATATCTCAGCTCTTCATGCATTGTGAACACGAAATGATGTGTGCAGTTTACAGTAATCATTGTTAATGCGTAGTAGCTATTAGAGCATCCAGTAACAATGCAGACATGCATCATATTCAATTGTCAGAAGCAGCAGATTGAGTTGTTTTGTTCGAGAAGCGAAATCTCAATCATGGAGCAGCTGGTCGGTGATAAGAAAAGCACAAACCAACACCTTCTTTTCCCCAAGTTATTATTATTCTCAGGGACAGGCTAATCAAAACATCTTCTGCTTTCCCAAATTGAAAAGTGTAACAAGTCTATGTGAATCTCATTGAGAAGGTTTTTAAGAAAGGCCAGGGATTGTACTTAAAACTGATTTGGCAACACACTGACTGAATGAATGTAACCGACAATATATTTCATTTCAGTTTCTTTGGTACCAGGTCCTTTTCCTCCATATTGTTTCTTACTGCGAGTAGTACCCAGTGATAGCACCACGAGGAAAATGTGAAAACATCCACAACGCAGCACTCACTAAAAAGGCAAACACCCACACAGAGTAGTATCTGGTCTGGACTGCCTTTTTACAATTTCTGGGTGAAGTAAATGAAAACTCTGCTGTCTATTGGATGAAGCTTTGCTATCTTTAAATGGCGGCTTATGTAGGCAATCTCGTGTCACACATGTAACAACATTTCACTGACAAATCACTGGTCTGCAGCCTTATTTTTGCAGCCTTATTCCATGTTATCATTATTTGGAGGGATAGGCTAATCAAACTTGTGTATCCTGTTACCATTTATGTGACCTCTTTGCTTTTCCAAATTGAAAATCTTTCTGCGTAAGTAAAGCCATGCAAACAACCCCGAGTTTTGCAGACTGCCTTTTTAAAAATGTTTTATCAAGTGACAGCAAAATGGTGTTCTATTTGCGGTAGCTGTACTATTGAAACATTTAAAAATGCCATATTTTTCTGGCTTTCCCCTGTCGTGCAATTTCTCACTAACCAATCAGTAGTATGCTGTGATTTCACTTTTATCCAAGGCAACTTACATACACTTCGATGCCGTAGAAATGCCTAAGGGTGCAATTTTGGGTTAAGTATCTTGCCAAAGAACACTACAAAATGTTGACTGCAGGGGCTGGGGATCGAACCCCAAACCCTTTGATTAGTATATGCGATTTATCCCCCCCGAGCCACAGCCATGCACAGTGTAACACAGGGTAACACAGGGTAACTGAGCTCGTGACCTTGTGACCGATTGGGGTGCACTTTGGGCCAGATAAGTATTTGATATTACCCACACCACCTTCTGGTTTCAAACTCTGCAGCTTCTTGGTTTTCTCCTGATCCTCTTTCAGTTTTCTGCTGCCTCTAGTGAGCCTTGGCTCTTTTGTCAGGCTGCAACAGATCAAAGGCAAAGCTCCCCTCCCAGAAATCATCATGAAAAGAAATCTACACAGCCGGGTCTGGAGGGTGTCGACTCTCATTTTGTTATTCTTGAAGTTTGGGCCGCCTTTTTTGCAAGCTCTTTTGAAGAGCGTTGATACAGGGTGCTACTTACATTACTAATTCTTCATAAATGTTTCATTTATAACTTTAATTCAGTGTCTGTACTTCATCAGCGTCATTGTCTGGCAAGATGTTGCTGAGATGAAATGCTGATACTTTGACAGATTATCTCTGAATTCTATATATATTCCATGAGCATCCACAGTCACTAGAGACAGCCGTCTGAAGAAGAGTCCACGTAGCTGGCATGGATCTGTTACCAAACGTTTTTCTGGACAAGCATCACACACACCTTTGTTTTCAAAATAGCATTTCAGAGCATTGCTCGGAGGCTGAAGCTCCTGTGCATGCTGTAGTTATTTCCTGTTTCTACTTAAGCTGCAATTGACAGAGCCTTTGCATTAATGGGATCTGCTCCGGCCGGTAAACGTCCATAAACTCAATCATTAGCCTCTAATCTGGTCTTTTAGCCTCTGCTAGAATATGGTGCTAATCTGCCACATACTTAACTAGCTTTTATATACGTGTGCTCAGGTCAAACTTCAGTCTCTTAATATTTCCGTTATGCTTCAATAGGGATACATTTAGTTTAGAGTACCACTATGTAGAGTTAATGCTCCCTCCTATCTTTCCTACAAAAAAAACTATTAATAGAAAATTGCATTGGAATTTCTAAATGTGTCCACTGTGCAGAGATGTTCTTTTATGTTTGGCTAAATGTGTCTAATTAAATTGGTGCATTCCTCTCTCTCGCTCTGCTCAGACTGATTCAGCTGATAGGTGGGACTGGTGCAGCTATAATTAGCTACCGTAGCATGTGGGTGGCAAATGAAGTGAGGAAGTGAGGGCAGGAAGAAGAGCTGCTGGTGCCTGCAGTACACTGTGGAAAATGATGTGTCATTTTAACGTAATTGGAGGGGGTCAATTAGCCCGGATTCTACTAATAAATTGTTATCATTCAGATAATGATCAGTCATTATGCGCTCACTTTGGTAATCGGTTTCCTCAATTACATTTGTAGGTAGGGTTTGGGTCACCTATGTATAAATGAAATACAACTGAAAGCAGCAGTCAGCCTAGATCTCAGTTACATGCCGATTCTGACGAGCGGAATTAAAAAACAAAACATGCACAGAAACCTCTCAAACAACTCCTGCAGATTATTCTTTTATTCTACTGTTCATATGTATGACCATAAGTTTCAAAACAATCATTATTTTGCCAAAATATGCCATAAACTCTCACTTGAAGTTACGTGTTATACCTTATTAACATCTCATGACAAAAACAGATACAAGAGAAAAAAGAAAAGAAATCAAGAGCATTGTAAGAGTTGATTAAATAAATGTAGGTGTAAATCTTATACCTGGTATAAATGGTGAAAATTAAGTTTGGATTTAATTAAATGTATTCAAAACACTTGTAAATCTTACTTACATGTATTGTAACATACAAGTGTTTCTATAAATATAAGAGCACTTAAACGCATGTATATACTTGGAATTAACTATGAAAAGAGACAATATTTGGCTTTGTGTATTACACTCAGAAGGGATTTACAACAGGCAGAAACTTGTGTTAATTTTAGACCAAGTGTTTGAGCTTTGAATATCATTTTGAACAGATTCTCCCTGAGGAACCGGTGTTTTACATAACACGTCTGTAACGCTCGATGTCTCGTATCACCTACTCCTGTTTAGTAATTGAATTGTGATTTATGTAATGAAACATAAATTCTCTGTTAGTGAAGCTAATGGCCGTTCTACATTGTTCCCACTTCATGATGGCTGCTGTTATGTACTGTTATCATTCTTTATTGCAGCCTCCCTCCATGCTGGAGTTGATAGACATTCCTCATCAACAGTGTATGCATACTTTCATTTTAGGATTAGTCAAGTCTACTAAAGATGATAATTAGGATTACTCAAATCAGAAATTGAATTATTCTTCTCTTTCCAATATTTACATTTCTGATTGAATTGAGTGACTGTATAGGGCTCCTATTGGCATGGATATGTTCTGGTAATGTTTGTCATACTGCATATGTCTAATGTTAACAGTAGGTGGTTGCAAATAGAGCCACAACTTATGATTATTTGTATTAATCTGCAGATGTTTTCTATATTCATCCATTTCTGTCCAGAAAATGTCCATTCCAGTTTCCCAACATCCAGGGTTATGTCATTAAATGTGTTCTTTGTGAGTCCAAAACACAAATATATTTCCTTCAATGTTGTATATAAACAAAAAAAGGAAAATGTTATTAATAGCATAGCCTATTCCAACTATTCTAATTAGTGTTCTTATCGGTGTCAGAATGAGGGTTGGATACAATTATTGCCTCTTCCATCACCAGATGTTTTGTTATTACTTCTAATTTTGTTCTGGTTCTGGATTTGAAACTTTCATTAAGTCTCCCTCACACACATTATATCCGTGCATCCTCCCGTCTGTGCAACAGACCTGTCTGCTAATGGAAATACGTGCACAGACATACATATGAATCAAACATGGGATTTTAATATTAATAAAAGTGGCTCCACCTCATTTGTGATAATGCCTGTGTGAGTGTGCATGCATACTCAAGTGGGCCTGGGCTGGGAGTGAATACAGTTAAGTGAGACATGAGTGTGCAAATATTTGACAGAGGGAGAGTCAGAGAGAGAGGATGAAGCTGTATACTCCTCGGCAGACAGATCTAAAAACAGGAAGGAGACTGATAGGCAGAGATGAGAGAGAGTAATGGAGGCAGGGAGCAGATGACTGCATTCATTGCATTACATGGCACTGTCTGCACAGCAGGCATGGAGGAAAGACAGACGAGAGTGGTGGAATGAAGTGAAAAGCATTTACCAGGCGTTGAAATCTACATGCAAACGTCTTTAGAGCACCAATAAGCCCATTGCCAAATTTAATGATGTCAGTTTTATTCTGGTCAGGCCACTCTTCTATGTACTACAGACATAGTCGGACAATAAAAATAGAAAAACTCCTCCTGCCACTTATAATCAGTTAAAGATAATGAGAGTGTAATGTATTGAAGCCACTTGGGCAAGATCTAAAGTTCATTAAAGCCAAAACTCAAATCGACTATTCAATCGGCAGAGAATAAATGGCTGCCAGAATTAAACACTTGTGATCCTCTGTTTTCAAATTGTGTTCTTGCTTGGTCCATGCTACTCTCGTCATCAGGTTTCAAGGTGGTGAGATCATAGCTAACCACATCTTTAGCTATCATTGATACTTTTCCTGGCATATGCCTTACGCATTATTTTATCATGCCACCTCCTGTTTTTCTCGGTTTTCCATTATTAAGATGACGTGTTTGAATAAATGATGCTGCTTCCCAAAAATGGTAGTGGTAAAAGAGGAAGTGGTTTAGGAGGAGAGGATACTAAAGACTTGTGTGTGAGTTTTTGGTGGTGGGAAGGCAACGTGTCAAACTGTGTGTAAACATGAACATTTGCACAAGATGCCATCTCAAAGTTCAGGATAGAGCGTCAAAGATAAATTGATTTGTTGTCAAATTTTAAAGTAATTGCCAACCAAATTGGAAAAAGATTAATCTGTTTGAGCATTTTTTTAAGAAAAGAAAAACTAAATTTGTTCAACTCCAGCACCTTAAATGTGAAATGTTCAGGTTTTCTTACACCAATTTGAAATTAAAATGAACATCTTTGAGTTGGTAACAAAAAAAAACATTTGAAGATATCACTTTGGGAGAAAGTTATAGACATTTGTCAACACTTATACTCATGTCATAGACCAAACAACTGATTGAACTGAACAGATTAACCAACAATACAAAAAAAGTCAAGGGTCAGTGAAATCTGCTTAGGAGGTTTGGTTTTAAAGTTTGTCATGCATAAATATATAAACACTCCTCAGTGTGTTTAGCCAATTATAATGAATATCATAGTAAATCTCTGTAAACAAAAACATATGCTTACTGCTCTGAGGTGTTATTCTCACCATTCACATTGAATCAGGGTTATATTGGTCTGAAAGGTGTGTGTGGGTGATGTCACCCTCTAGTGTATTTCGATGGTGTCAGCTGGAAAATGAACACTAGCCTACTATACAGAAAAACACTAAAAGCATCGTTCCCAGGAGCAACGCATACCACTGAGCCGTGTCACATCAATGCTGGGGCTTTATTTCTACACAGGGACTTGGACTTCCCTCCCCTCTCTGTTTGAACCACAGCCTCATCTCAATTCAGTCTAAAGCCAAGGTCCTGTCCCGTGTCCTTGCTCTTGTGAAGCATCAAGGACTTCAGATAAAAACGCGACTTCTTAGCGTTTTTTGTCAAAACAGTATGTCATACATGATGCAGAAGTCACGGGTTGTTTTTGAAACGACAGGCAAATATCTTATATGTATTAACCATAGACTGTATATATAACAGGCTCTTGCAGGGGAAATTATGCGCAACTTTACGCCAACTGGACTGTTTCCATGAATGAAGATTGTGAAGACCGAAAACAACATAGGAACTACCTGCTCTCGTCCTGACCCGTCCTCCAAAATGGGCTCTTCAGCGGTGGCCGTCTCCTCCTCCGTCTGCATTTTCCCTCTTGCCACTCCTTCCTTCCTTAGAACCGGGCACAGGCAGCTCCCTCCCCGGTAACGTCCGAAGGCAGGGACCTCCCCGGCGGAGCAGCGAGCTCGGTCACCCCATCCGCCGCAAGTCGGTATCCAATTTCACGATGGCGGGGCCTGCGGCAAATAAGCATAGTCTACTCCGGGTTTGGCAGCACCACCTGCTCTCTCCCAGTCTCTCCTCCCGCTCAGTGTTTCTCCTCTGCCCGCTGCATCCTTCCTCTCCGGTCGAAACGTGACTTAGCGCCCAAAGTCAAAGCCGTCTGTCGCCCTCCCTGACACACCGTTTCCACTGCAGCCGCTCGCTTCTGCCTCTCGTGATGCTCAGCTACGAGCGTGCGTATGTGCACGTGTGCGCGCGTGACCGACAGCGCAGGAGAGCCAACCGGGGCCATGAGCTGCAGCTGCACTAATGAAGGAAGACGCTCGTGAGCACGAAGCTAATTACCGTTGGTTCAGGTCTGCGCGAGGGGGAAATATAGTAAATATATAAAACAGGAGGGTGACGTCATTATTCAACTTTGTTTTGCCAAGGTTGTACCTCGTATTGGGTCTCCGTTGACGTCATATACCAACATCCCCACCCCCATATAATATACACCTGAGCCAGGGCCGGCTCTAGACAATTTGCAGCCCTAGGCGAGATTTTAGCTGGCGCCCCCAGCCAGAGAATCGTACAGTAGAAAAGATAAAGATCAATAGAGTATCCAAGGAATACACAATAAAGTAAAATGCTTCAATCTGGTGCACTTTGAGCAGAATTACTACTAGATCTAGGGGGTACAACTCTAAAACACCCACATGAAAAAGATCGGTTTACATTTTAATAACCAAATAAGTATGTGAACATAAATAAATGTAACTTATTTTATTTTTGTTGTTCATTCATATCTTATTTTACCTATTTAACATTTATTTATTCATGCACATTTTTTTATCTCTCCAGTTTTAAACGATATTTTTGGTTACTGTCCTATAGTATACATTGAAATGATTTCAAACCTGTTTATCCCAATAATTATAAAGGAGTGCCTTGGAAATGTGTTTACATCAATTGTGATCAAACCGTTTGAGACCCACTGAGATAACTTAGACTAAAGTGAACTATCTAAACGTAAAGTCCTTTACCTGTTGTGCACCGACAGAAATGTTAAGGGAGTTTCATTTTCATGTTGTTTTGTCATTCATCATTTACCTGTCATTCCAGGCTTCCTGATTATCTACCTCGTGTGTCTCCCGTGCTCATCAGCACCAGCCCCGCCCCTGATTGTTTCCACCCGTGTCTTGTTGTCATGTGTTTAAATTCCCCAGTCTCCCAGTGTTCATTGTCAGTTCGTCTCGTCTCATGCCTAGGTCAGATCTATGCTCTCCTTGATACCAAGATGTTTTTGTTCCTCACTACGTGAGCGATTTTCTTTTGTTCACTTTTTGTCATCTCATCAAGAGATTAGAAAGTGTTTATTTCTGTTCTTCTTTTGAAAATAAAGTATCTTACAAATACTTTACCTCTGTCTCCTGGGTCGTGCAATTGGGTCCTATACCTCGAGTTTCTGAGTTCGTAACATTATCTCACTGAGCTGTAGTTATCAGCCTCTCAGTCTGACTGGAGAGGACTCTCCCTCCACATTATTGTAGAAACATCTTCTTCTTATATCCGTTAGAGCAGCTAGCACCAGATTCTAATAACAGCGCCGGTGCGCTCTTCTCTCTCGCTCGCTCCCACGCCCTTTGGCTGTGAGCTGCGGGCACCTGATAAGCCAACATCCCCCATTTTCATCACTTACAGCGCCCATCGTACAGGGCAAATTAAAAGTGTAACCGGGGGGAAAAGGGTGTTACATTTTCTTAATTATGAATATTGTTACATCAAGGCCGAAAATTAGGATGAGCACCAACGGTAAAAAAAAATGTGTTTCCCTCCCAGAGCTACCAGCGCAGCGCCTCCCCAGATCTGGCGCCCTAGGCGAACATCTATAACGCCAGTGCTACGGGCCGGCCCTGACCTGAGCACACGCGCGAGATACACACACGCGCACCCACTCAGGCACACATTAACCAATTAGCTAAATTAAAATGGGTAATTTTAAAGATGTCGGGAACATACATTATGAAAACATGTTTCTCCCAATGTTATAGAAAAACACAGATCCCGTAATTCATTATGAGAAACTGTCAAAAATAATGTGTGCATCTCAAATGAGTCAATCCCAACAAGTTTCTCATTATTTTGCACTACTAAGTTGTATGTTTGGGATAATAGTCATTATTTTCGACTATTAGGTCATTATATTGGCAAAGTTTCTCATATTGAAACACAGGATTCTTTTATTCATCACATGGCTTCATTTGCATCTTATTTTGTTCCTTTGATTGCAGAGATGGGCTTCCATAAACAACAAACATACTCACAACACCCTGATATAATTGCTACAATTATTTCAGTAACAGTTTTATTTGAAACATAAAGATCCATATAAATACTTCATTTATGTTGAAGAAAAGAGAACCGAGTGATATGAATGATGAGGAATCAGATGGGATGTTGATAAGTATTCTTCACAGAGGAGTGGTGCGATTGAGATGTCCTGAAATGTATAAACAAAAACTGGTTCAGATATTGTTACTACTTTATATCCACATCTGACATTTATGTTTATTTTATTAGATACAGACCCTTGTTTGCTGAAGGACTGGTGAAGAGGTTCCCAGCTGGTCTGTGGAGCTGTGCAGCCCCCCGTCCTACAGGTAGGCTGGCAGACAGCTGACGGACCCCCAAGCTTTTCTTGCTGTGTGTACTGCTGTGATCCTTGAGCCAAACATCATATAATCTCTCAGGAAGGATGGGTGAAATGATTTAAGGAACATCTTCTATAAAGACCACCAAGACTTGATGAATCTCAAAGCAACTGCACGTTAACATTCATTAATTCCGCTTTCTCAAAGGAATTTTCCTTATGTCACCAGTGATGTCAACTTGATTTAAAAAAAGCACCTGCATATTAAAGTGGACCTATTATGCTATATTTGAATAATATAGTGTAGGACCATACCTATATAAGGCATATTTATACTTTTTTTTTTTCAAAATACCAAATAGATCATGCATTTTAGCCATGCCTCATTTAGCTCAATTTGAAAAATGTTAGCTCTGTTTTTGCAAGGGTTGATTCTGTGAGCAACAGCACCATCTAGAGGCCTGGCATATGTACTACAGCGTCTCCAGCGCTTTCGAACGGCAATGCCGTGGTTGTCTCCTCCTGATTGGTGGAGTTGGCCCAATAGCCGTAGTGCCACTGTCCTGACGTCAGGAAAATGTTCAAATCTGGATCAGTTTTTATCAGATCTGTTGCAGCCCCTTTTTTTAGAGATTTGGGTATGGAGGAAAATAGAGAGGGTTTTGTTTTCTGACACTTGGTGAGTTCCCTGGAACACCGGGGACACATATTCATGTATAAAAGTGCATTTTGCATGATAGCTCCCCTTTAAGTAAAAGCAATGCTAAAAGGCGGAATACTGGCTGAGCCGAGTCATATGTTTGCTATATTTGCTTGCGGAAACACTTGTTTCTAATGACTAAGGATAACAATCTAAGTGTTTCTTAATAAGTGAGCAACTTATTGAGAGGATATTGGCAGTGACAGGCAGGTAGAGGATGTCTGTTTCAGTGTGGATGATGATATCTTCAGAGAGGTTCTTCTTTGGCTCCTCGTCTCCTGCTTGGACTGCACACATGGCAAACAGCTGAACCTGCAGCTCAACATGCAGACCTGCAGCCACCTGGACACACACACACACACACTTCTTACAATGTGGCTCCTTTAACACATGTAATCATTACACCCAGCTGGAAACTCACAGGCCCAGGGTTGTAGATGACACGGAGGCCTGTAGCAGCAGGAGGCTGTTTCACATGGAACCTTGCAGAGGGAGAGATCGAAACAAAAAATAGTTGCAGGTGAATGTTTTCCCTTTAGATTTGAAGGTGACCCAGACTCTCCTGTACCTCACCAGAGAACTTTTTTTTAAATCTCTGACACCCTGCTAATTATAATGCTGAAACTAAACTAATAAACTCATACTTATTTTGATTATTTCCTAGTCCATCTGGTGTCTTACCTGCAAGTGTCAGCACCCACGTTCTTCATCACCACAGTAATTGCAGAGGAGGTGCCCTCCTGCAGAGTGCCAAAGTCAACAGTGGAGGGGAGCAGCTGGAATCCCCTTGCTATGACACTCCGATCAGTCAGAGAAATAGTCCGACACTTCCTCCTCACCGGCTCCTCCACTGATAGGAACTGGGATAGAGTGATGTGTGAATAGTGTGTGTGCATGTGTGACAGTGCGTGTGACACAGAGAGAGGGGAGCATGTAGGTGTCTAGATATATAATGATGTATAATAGAATAGATTTTGGGAATGTTTAGCTACCTGTTGATTTGGTATGCTGCGAGGTTTAGAGGTGAGGATAGACGTTGGGAGTCTGACTTTAGTCCTTCTGAGTTTTCCAGTCACATCCAGCTGAACCGACTTGCTTTGCCCAGGTGAACCCCTCACACTGCGTTCCCCTGGATACATAGAAACATGGTCATACAGGCATTGATTTAAATGCCCATGACCTGCATCACAACCAATTTAGAAATAATCTGCAAATCAATGACTGTAAATTTAAGGAGGCGTTGAGATGCAAGCGGCTATTAAACATCAATTCAAATACATTTCCAACCAACATACAAGTAATGTTACATAACTTGTTGACACACAATATACTGTTTATACCTTATGTATACCTGCTAGAAAATATAAATCTTTAGTCCTATTTAGAACATGAACTTGGTTTTTGCTTTGCTAGCAATGTAGGTATTTGCACCATACCAGTGAGAAAATGCGACAGTTTAATGCACTTTGTAGCCCGATGACGCATGAAATATAATTCAGACTATGACCTCAAAATGTCCCTGATATATTCAGATGTATTTCTTGATTGATTATGCTGTTCCCCGTGCTTCTTGCTAATCTTAAAATAGTCATTTGAATTAATTCCGCCCTGCATTTGACAAAAAATAAAAAAATATATAAAACAACATGTTAGGTGGGGAACAAACCAGCACTGTGAGGCGTGGGGTTGCTGGGTCTTTCCTTAAGCCTCCTCTCACTTCCTGCTGCATGACTTAGAGCAAATGGAAACATTATTTAGACAAGCAATGTATGAGGAAGAAAATCAACTGATGTTTTGTGATTCACTGCTAAGTCAAAATCAAACAGGAAGAAGAACAGTTTATAACATTC